CACCCCACACACAGCACTCACACCACACACACACCACACCCACACACACCACACTCACACACCCACACAACACACCCACACACACTACACACACACCACACACAAAGCCACACACACACCACACACCCATTTGAAAATAGGGGCATTCTTTTGTTGTGCTAATAACAGATCCATACCGGTGCCATATGGATCCTAAACCTAATCATTCGTGAGTTTCTGAGAATGTCACTCCACAGGAGTAAAAGCCTCATTAGTAGCCCACAGCATAACCACGGTGCTACAAGGGCTCCTACTCTGGTGGCAGCACTAGGTAATTAAGACGCACAGTCATTCTGCCGCCCACTGTCAGGAGTGAGCAAAAGCCCACTCCGGTGCCAGGGGAGAAGATGCCAAGACCATTTCTCAAAAGGAAGGACATCAAGGGTCCTAGGAGACCTAGTTCGAAACATAACCTGGCACCAGTTGGCGCTCAGTACGCCTTCCTCCCACATCAGTGCCCTGCCCACCTGCCACAGCCTCCAGGCCCCAGTTCTAAAGATTTACTGAGAAGTCTCAATTCCTTGGGATCGATAGCATGATCGTTTTTCGTTTTGAATGACTGCCCTGGCTCCCACTTGCCCTCAGTGTGCCTTGCCTGAGGCTACACCTCAGGCCTGAGGCTACACCTTAGTGACAATTTAGCCACGTCCCTATTGGCTCATTTTAGATCTCGGCCTTGGAGACTAGATCCTATTGTGAGGTTTCTGGAGTGGTTTATGGCTCGGTTCTCAACGCTGAAAGAACTCACACGGCAGCAGCACTTTTGAAAATCCACAACTAATCGCGGGTTCAATAGGCGCAATTGTGCGGTTGAGATATATAAAGAGTATAATAAAGTCATCGAGCACATGAGAGATAGAAGAGATGGGCTTTGGGTCTCCACTCCGCCCTACCCCTCATTCACAATGATATGATTTTTTGCTCTTTGATGCCTGATACCTGAGCCTATCGACACCTCGTGATTGTACAGGCTGGTGTGCTTCTTCCATGTGGGCTTTGTTGCTTCTCAGCTAGATGGCTGCTCGTTTAATAAGACATTTTTCAATAATGGGGATCAAATAAGTCTCAAAGAAAGATTTTTAAAAGTAATTTGAACTAAATAAAGATGAAAATACAAACTATTAACATTGTGGGATTCAGCCAAAGCAGCATTAGAGGTAAATTTATAGCACCAAGTGCACACGTTAGAAAACAAGAGTGGTCTAAAATCAGTATGAGTCCTGAGAAAACTTGAAAAAGGAGAGCAAATTAAATCTGAAGAAAGCGAACTCTCTTTCTCTCTGCCAGGAAGGTGCCCTGTCTTGTTTCTCCGTTGGTCAAGCCTCTCTGCCCTTGGGTCTCTCCTTCAGGAGCTATAACAATGAGTCCTATTTGTTTTACTAACTGTAATTGCAACCTCAAGAATTTCCTAGATTCCTGAGAGTTAAGAATTAGGATCAGCATAAAACTGACTTCTGTGAAGTAGAGGGCTGGTATATCGCTGCCTTTCTACTCCTCTATAGTTTCTGGCTCCAATTAACCGTCAAATTGATTTCAGCCTATCCAGGCAATGTCAATCAATTGGGGGAATCCCTACACAAAAGCAACAAGCCCTCTGGGGTGACCGACAACCCACCGTCTCCCCACCCCACCCCACCTTAGCTCCGCCAACGAACTAGGGCAAAGGTAACCCCTCAGGGTTTAGGGGGAATATCTCCCAAACTGTCTTCCCAAAGGACCAAAGCAAAAGGCCACATAAAGGAACCGATTTCACCACAGTGGGATGCAGCAAAGTAGTGTTTATAGGGCAATGTACAGCATCGACTGCATATAATTAGGAAAACACCCCCAACACACCTACTGCCATTGAATGGATTCAAGTCATACAGGGAATTTCTGAGACTGTAAATTCTTATGGGAGGAGACAGCCTCATCTGTGTGCCAAGAAGATTTGGGTGGGTTTGAACCGCTGACCTTGTGGCTGGTAGCCCAACCACAGCACCACTTTCACCCGAGGAAACGTCAAGCAACAAGACATACTAGATCCAAAGGCGGTGGACTCTGCTCTCTGCACCTCCATCTTTCTCACATTCCTCCCTGGGCTGCCCACCCTTCTTTCTTTGCCCCCTGTTCTTGGGCTAGGCCCAATCGCTCCTCAGATTCCACCCTCACAGCTCAACATCTCCAAGGTTCTGTTGTATGTTGGGTTGCTATGCGTTGGAACCGAGTCGACGGCACCCAACAAGCACAATGATCGCCGCCGCCGTCACGGCCACGGCCACTGCCATGGCGGGACCATGAACCCAGGCGCTGTCAACGACGGGGCGCTAGGGGGCGCTGTAGTACTGCGCTCGTGGAGCAGCTCCGGCGACCGCGGGGTACGGAGGGCTTGGGTATGGGGGAGGGACGGCGCGCGCGTGCGTGACTGTGCGTGCGCGCGCGTGACTTGCGCGCGCGTGCGCGCTGTTCCAGGCTCCGCTGTTAACAGGTGCTGAGGAAGGACAGTGCGGGGCAAGGGCAGCCGGGGGCCTGGGGAGCATCGTCCTGTTGCGCGCTCCGGGTCGGGCCTGCCAGCGCGGCGGCGGGGGCGGCACTGGAACTGTTGGGGTCACTCTGCGGCTTCTAGGGGGCGGGGATCCCCGGACCGAACGCACTAGGGGGTGGCACGCTCCTGTGCGTGTAGCCCGAGGCTTGTGAGGCCCAGGTGCAGGGGGCGGGGTTTTCCTACGGGAGCGGGGCCTTCACGGGCGGGGGGATGGGTGGGGTGCGCCTTGTGGGGGTGGGGGTGGGTGCGGTGCGCCTTGTGGTGGGTGGTGAGCCGAGGTCATGGTGGGGGGACTTTAATTTCACACTCTGTAAGGGCTGGAAGGCTGGAGGAGGTGGGGGGCGGGAGGTTCACCCAGATCTATGGCTGACGTGGGAGGAGCCATGGGAACTTTGCTAAGTGGTGTGTGGTGTGTGTGTCTTTTGCGGGAACACCAAAATGACCCAGACAACCCCAGCCCTGACCTCACCGGGGGTAGACAGACATGCCATCAGAGTGACCGCCCAGAACAGGAGGGGTTCTCAACCTTCCTAATGCCGCCACCCTTTCATAGTTCCTCACGTGGTGGTGACCCCCAACCATAAAATCATTTTCGTTGCTGCTTCATCAGTCATTTTGCTACTGTGATGAATCGAATGACCCCGGTGAAAGGGTCGTTCGTTCGACCCCCCAAAGGGGTCTCGACCCACAGGTTGAGAACCACTGGCCTGGACTGATCAGGGCTCATTCCAGGACCAGCAGTGTGGGAGGGGTCCAAAGTTGGGGGAGTGGGCAACTGCAGCCTCAGCTGGAGGGATCAGAGAGACCTTCACTTGGACTGAAGGGTGCCAGGTGGGGCAGAGGAGCCTTGGAAAGCTTTGGCTTCTAAGAAGAGGCCTGAATGACGAACGAGTAGTATTCTGGCAGGTACCTTGTCAGAAAAGGGTGTTCTAGACAAAAGCCAAACCAAGCTCACTGGCACCGAGTCCCTGCTGATTCAGGAACCCCACTCGACAGGGTAGAGCTGTCCCTGGGGGTGTCTGAGGCTGTCACTCTGTGCAGGGAAGCTGCATCTTTTTCCTCATGGAGAGAGTGGTGGGTTCGAACAGCTGGCCTTGAAGCTAGCCGCCCAGTGTGTAACCCCTGCTCCACCAGGGAGCTAGACAAAGGGACTGGCATATGTAAAGGCTTGGAGATGAGAGTGAGAGTCCTCTTTCCCTGAGACCTTTGCTCCCTCCTGGAGCCCTGGTGGTGTAGTGGTGAAGCATTGGGCTGCACTCGGCATGGTCAGCAGTTCGAAACCACCATCAGCTCCACGGGGAGGAAGACTCCTATTACTTCTGCTGTTCCCAGAAATCCATCGACTGGATGGGGCAGTGAGAGAGAGGTGCCCTGGCACAGGCCCAGGAACACCTGCCAATACCGTCCGGCAGACCTCTTCCACGGGACTGGCCGGAGGCAACCAGTCGCCAAGTCTGAATTCCCGGTGGCCCCCTCTCCGGCTGACTTCCCCATCTTTCAACCCCATCTGTCAAATGGGGATGTAATGTTAGATACCACCAATCTCACTTTAAAGCCCTTATAATAAAGTACTGTATAGACTCGTATATAAGCTGAGTTTTCCCAGCACATTTAATGCAGTTTATGTGGAATAGCAGCCTTGGCTGATATTCGAGTCAGCTTATACTCAAGTATATAGGTACATAGCCTATCATATAAAATGTACTATATAGATATAGTCTATATAATGTGCACATAAAACTAAAAACAAATTGAAAAAACACAACCATTTCTGTAAAGCTGATCCCGAATCATGTGACTTTGTAGGATAGAGTAGAGCTGCTCCACTGGGTTTCCAAGACAATTCATCCTCACAGGGGTAAAGGACCTCATCCTCCTCCCAAGGAGAGGGTGGTGGGTTTGAACCCCCAACCTTGCAGTTAGCTTGATCCTGGGCTCCAGGGAGTCAACAAACCGCCGGCTGCCCTGCGGGTGGCTCTCTAACCCAAGTCTTGGAAAAGGTACGAAAGGCAGGGGGAGCTGCCCGTGCAATGATAGGCTACTGTAAACTCGGTTATTTCAGATTTTCAAACTGAAAGAATTAGCAGCGATGTTGAATTTTTGCTTTTTTTTGTTTCTTAATCCCTTGCTTCAAAATTGGTAAGAAACAGACAGGGTGATTCATTTTTGGCACTGTTTCGACTCTCAAGTGCTGAGCGGGCATGACCTGCTCCCCCGCCCCCACGCCCGTTTCTGACTCAGAGGGGATTCGACAGAGCCCCCCTCCATCCCCCACTGCTGTAGTTGGCTTGAAGAAGGGCCTGTGCCCCCCAGAAACACACCCAGTCTCCCCGGGTCTGCATCATATTCCTTTATTGGCTATCCTTGTATAATACAAACCCGCCAGTAGATTAAAAAAAAATCTGGAAATCAAAGATAGAAAAGTACCTGCCAGGGACTCCTCCCCTTCTGACCGGACCCGCCCACCAAGTGGGTACAGACGTGAGGTAAGTGAGCATCTTCTTCCCCTCCCCCTCCCCCGCTTCCTAGGCCCCCAACTTGGCCCCTGCCCCTCATGTGATCTTGACCCAAGAGAATGGGGCGGGGAGGGGAGGGGCGGCAAGAGGGGTGAGCACAACCTTGGCAGTGAACGCAGCGAGTGGGCGGGGGGAGCCCTTAGCTTGTGCTGTGTATGTGGGGGCGTGAGTACACTCAGGTGGGCACCCTCCTCCATCCAGCCGGGCACTGGAAAGGGGAAGAGGGGGAACAACAGAAACCGGGGCTGTAGTGGGAATGGAGGGTGTCCAGGGGGTAGTGGCCACCCCTGTGTCTGCGGTTGGGGGAAGGGGCACTGCCAGGTGAAGTCCGGCAGTGAAATGAGTCCCTTGGCCAGGCAGGGTCCGTCCCTGAATCCCATCCTGTCACCCTGCGCATCCCAGTGTGGGTTCCGGAGTGATGGGGGGGGAGGGGGTAGGAGAAGTGATTAGAGACTGTGGAGGGGGGTGCAGCCCCGGCGAGCAGGATGGGGGGGGCTTGGCTTCCCCTCCCAGGGGTGGGGCACCTGGAGGTACTGGGTGGGCAGGGGCGGCTTGGGCTACAGTTCAATCTCAAAGGTCTTTTGCAGGTCACCAGAGAAGGGGTTGGAAGGTTTCTCGGTGGTAGATTTGCCTTCTAAAGCGGCCCACTGGGCCTCAAAGGGGTCCAGCTCAGGGGCCGAGGCAGGTGCTGGCTCTGGGGGCCAGGGGGCCCCGTTGGGGCGTGGGAGGGCCTGGCCTCCAGGGGCACCGGGTGCGACAGGGGGCGGGAAGGCCCCAGCTTTCCCAAGCAAGGTGGCAGGCTGGGGCTGGAGCTGGGTGGCGGAGCAGAAGGCGTTGGCTACCATCTGTGAGGGTGTGATGCCCACCACGGGTACCCGGGGCATTGGCGGGTAGCCTAGGCCTGGGTACGGGGGCACAAAGGGAGGCTGCATATGTGGGGGCGGCAGGAACAGTGCCACCTGGGCAGGCGCTGCGTCAAAGGGCCCCACAGGGGCGGGGAAGGGCTGCAGGGTGGGCAGCATGGGCACAGGGGGTCCCGAGGCTCCTTGCTGCTGCTGCTGCTGCTGCTGCTGCGCCTTGGCCACCTGCGACACCTCCTCCAGCCACCGCTCAGCCTCTGAGGGTGTCCGCTTGTGCCCGGGCTGGAAGGCAGCTGCAGGGGGCACGGAGGGCTCCCCCCAGGCAGAGGTCCCTGGAGACGGAAAAGGGGCACGGGTAGTATGGACAGAAGCCCAGCTGATGCTCAGTGGGG